TTGTTAAAAGTATAGATTTAATTTTTACATTGAAAACATGAAGGTAAATTTTGCTTTATATTTAACATTCGAACTTGGATTCTATTACTTAATTTCAAAATTTTTATAATAAACTTCAAAAAAGAAAAAAATACTGCATTCAAATAGACAATTTATATTTAGAAAAAATTGCTTGATAAAATGAATCTGTTAGACTTGAAATAGTTGCTAGTTATTAGGAATAACATTGTATGATAGCATTGTATGACGGGAATAAGATTGTATGACGCGCATTGCACTTGACTTCATAATTTCGCCTCTCTGAAGGAGAGATAAAAGACCTCGGAAAAAGCAAATCTTACTCTTTAATAACCTTATATTGCATCAATCTAGTATTAGATAATATTCTTTTGCTATTTGAGACCGAAATGACTATGTTCCGTTTTTGGAAGATGTTTCGCTTCCAAAATAGATAAAGAGAGGTAAATAAATATTTCATCGTCAGCAATAATCTTGGATAAGCAAAACATTCATAATCACCAAAGCATATTAATAATATAAAAATACTTAGTTCTGTTGTCACCTAATTGATTTATTTTCATTTTCTCTGCAAATCTAACCTTCAAGAATTGTTGAATGTTTCATTTTACCAAATGGCCTGTATACATCATTTTATGAGGGTTTTTTTTTTTTAAAAAAAATTACTTTTTATCGCTTGATAACATTTTTAAAGTTAAAAATATTTATGTTGAATATGTTTAATTACAATGTTATAACATTTTTATAAAATAACAATTTAATGTAAATCAATATTCGCTACTTATTCAGCAATTTTTTTCTATTTCAAGTCGATAATTCTTCAAATATTAATCAAATATTTTTCCTTTTTTTTATCCCATCGAATTCCTAGTACATTTTTTTAAACATCTTTACAATTTCAAATTCCTAAGTTTTATAGACAATCAATCAGGCAAAATTGTAAAAAAAAAATAACTCGTGTTAAATTCATAAGCAAATATAGTCCCTTCAGCATGTTGAATTTCAACTATGTAGTTGCATTCCTGCTACCTGTAGAGTAGTCTGCATGGTACATTTTCCTACAATTGTTTAAGTTAATAAAGGGCCATTCAAATTTCACGTTGACTAATTTATTGTCAGCAAAAATAAGCAAATTCCAAAACTTTCCCCAGCATACCTAAGAAATTAGCAATAACCCCTCCTTGGTTTTTACTTTAACTTTGGCATTTACTGTAGTAATAAAGTTTTGGAATTAAATTTAAATAAAAATACGTAACTTTGCGTTAGGGGAAGTTTATGTCATTCATTTTATGACATTTTGAGTCGAGTATTCTTTAAAACTCTTTTGTGTTCAAAATTCTTGACCTCTTAAAGTCTTGGAAAATGTTTTTTTTTTTCTAATTTACCACTGAAGATATTTCAAGTGTCGACCAGCCAGTGAATTCGTGTCGACCAGCCATTGCTGGGATTCGAATCCATTTCAACTTATTGTAATGCGAAAGCTCTGTATCCTGAGCCATCGTGGTTCATCAAAGTATACTAATAATATATGCGTACTTATACTTTGTTGCAAGTTACGGAAAAACCATCGTCCCTATGAAGAGAACCTATTTCCTTCTAAGCGTACGCCAACAAATGGATGCCAAGCTCCCAGCGCTAGCGTATACCAAGTTTTAAAATGACATTTCATAACCTTCTTTTGCTTGCTTTCTTAAATCGTGTAAAATTAGAAAAACAAAACTTATTAAATAATCAATTAAAGTAATAAGAACTAATAAAAATGATATCGAAAAATCGTATCAGATTTAAAAAACAGACAAAAGAGTAATAAATATCGTTTCTTGGAGACAATTTTCCTCTACAGTGAAAAAAAAAAACTTATCTTATGTTTGATTTGTTAAGGGCATGTCAGCATTAGACACCCCATTTTTAGTGTTCAATCAAATCCAAATGATCTTGCAACGTCATAGAGTGGTTTCTATTTCAAGAACGAATGTTCTTATTTTATAGCTTTTTTTTTAATTAAAAAAACAATAAAATAAAAATAAAAATTTGTTCTTATATACTTAAAGCTGTACTTTTAAGATTTTTTTCGAAAAATTCGTCGTCGCATGAAATGGTGCTTTTTTATGATTAATATGCTATTTTCATTGCTGCTGTGAGTTTACAACAGCTACTCATGACTGCTAAGACAAGTTCAGCCTATCTAAAGCTAGCGCTTTCTATACTTATTCTGAAAATGATGCAAAATGTCAATGCAAGGCACAGTTTTGTGGAAATGAAAAGCGTTTGTGGTCTAATTTTTCAATATTTAAAAACTTACTCCAATGTTTTATTATCTGGGATTATTAAAATGTTCAGAAACAGAGAATAAGGAATTTTCTTCTAGGTGGAAAAATATCGTCAAGTAGGCGATTTTTAAAAAAGTTTAAAAACTTCAAAAATATTTAAGTTTGACGTCCGTTAAAGCCCAGTTAATTTTTCACAGCAAGATGATATAGTTTAAAAAAATAATTTTGCTCCAAGTGTAAAGCACTTTAACTGCGGTTTTTTTAAATTTCCTGTGGCGACGGAGCTTTGAAAAACCATCTTAATATGTTTTTCAGGTGGATGAGGAGTAAGTTCTACAGTCACTATTCGTAGCATAACCGTCCATTATAAAAAAGAATATTAATTTAGCAATATGACTCAAATGTTCTTAGTACTGAAAAGTACGAATACTGAAATATGCGAATTAGCTTATGACTAAGTTTTGAAACACAAGAATGAAAAACTTTACTCAAGTATAAACTAACAATACCTAAAATACCCCGCCAATGTATGCAATCCATAAAAATGGATTGTAATTGAAATTATTATTCTTTTCCTCGTCTGCTACAAGATTTTATATTTAAATTCGTTAAATAACAATTGAATACTAACGACGTGTGGGGAAATAAACTGTGATGAAATTTTTCGCAGCTTTCAAAATTTTTTTTATTTTTACTGTATGTACCGAGTCAATATATTCAATTAATAAAAATGTGTAATAATGGAAATAATTATTCTTTTTATCGTCTGCTACAAGATATTTGTGCAAGGAGAAAATCAATTAATAAAATTGTAAAATAATTTCTCCAAATACTTATAGTTAAACAAATAAACTAATTATATTTACTTATAAAAATTTGTTACAATGCTTTACTTTTTCTATACTTACATTATTTATTATTACATGGTAAAACATCCCACCTGCCCTACCCTAGATGCGCAGCGAGTGATGAGATGCCTAAAGTAACTTTATCGTTTGCATTTTCAGCATTTAAACAAAATATTCCATCTGAGCAAAGTACTTTAATGATATAAAAGGTCATGTTTTCTCCTATTATTATGCCATAATTAATACATATCGAACACTGACGTGCTGATCACATCAGCTATCTTTAATCTTTGGTATAAGCAATGAAAGCAATTGCAAGACAAATATTTACTTATTTTAAATAAATTATTAACAGTAAAACAACACCTGACAAAAAAAAATATTTAACACCCTAAATATTTACTTAAAAAAGTGATCAATTATTTCAAAAATTAAAATTAAAGAAGCATTAACGTCAAAACAAATTAAATTTAAGTGGGGAAAAATGCGCACAAACTAATTAATTTATAAAATTACAGTATCTAAAAACTCTAATGGAGATCGAAATAGGCTATAGGTGGCGAAAAGCAGATGGCAACATTTCACATGCTTTCACGATTAGCGTGTGGAGAGTCATAGAAGGAGGCACTTTAGTTTCTGTCTTAATTTTCAAGTAAATTAAAATATTTAAAGTTAAGAAACTATATGGAACTCAGAACCACATTAAACAGAGTTCTAAAAGAAAGCGTCATAGAAATTTAAAGAAATATTTTTAATAATTAAATGTGAAAAATATTAAGAAAAAAGGAAAAATATCGTAATACATTCCAAAGAACTGAAAAGAGGAGAAAAGGGAAAGGGCTAAAGCCATGGAACCGGTCTTTCAGTTAAATAGCTCCTGAGAAATCCAATTTTAAATAGCTGACATTTTTGAAATTCAATTTCTCTGGAATTATTCAATCAACTTCGCTCAAATTTTGTACTTTTTCACGTAAAATTATATTCCTTAAAATGATGCAAAAATTTTTATACCTTGCAATTCCAAATATCGTCCTTTCTTAAATAAAATAATAAAAAATAATAAATATTTACTAAAAATATTTTTTCGTTGGAATTATCTTTGGATGAAGAAATTTTAAAATTGTGTACAAATTTTTTTTAATTAACTTTAAAAGTTCCTAAAAAATGCCTAAGGATGTATAAATATCAAAAAAGTAAAATTAACATTAAGGGGTCCAAACTTAGCAACTCTCTCCTGACCAAACTATTGGGATCAAATTTCCCAAATAGAAATCTGAATCCGTTGCAAAAAAAGGTATGTCTATTCAGAGAAAGTACGTTTTTGTGTCTGATTTAGTAATTTTTAATTTTTTTGTGACATCGTCTGCAATTATTAATAAGCACATTTCAGGTCTAACCCTCGAGCCATTAAGATTGATTCTTGAAACGTGAAGATTTGATTATCAGATTCAGAATGTGCCGTTATTTTCTTTTTTCTTTTTCTTTACCGCACTGTTCATTCCTATACAACTGAGAAAAAAAGAAGACCAAAGGAATAAGCATCAAGACATGGAACTTATCTACTCCCCAGAGAGCGTGTATTCCCACCTCCCCAGATCGCGAGCGTTGTCATCGTTAATTCTGATGCGCATGAAAAAAAATAGAGAGTGGTCTAAATTAAAAAAAAATCTAATTAAATTATTACTAATGGACAGAAATAACTATATGGAACTATACGACTATAACTATACGACTATACGGAAAAATTTGATAACCTGATTGGTGAAAATATTCTTATGTGGAAAACTCACCAATCAGGTTTTTCTCTTATCTCAACAGCCAGTGGCGTTGCGTGAATCATGAGCAGTGTGAATGGCCTTATGGTAGAAATTTTTGCACTTTTCAGTAGTGAAGCTGCCGAGATAAGCGTCATCATCCCAAATATAATCGGTATCTTTTATGACGTAAATCTCTTACATGTATGGAGGCCATATTCTTTTAAACCTTTCTGTCACTCGTTGATAAATATTTATGTATACAATTATATGAAAGGCTTTACCTGTGTCGCGAAAGCTGATCAGTTTTTAAAATATACTTATTTACTGTAAACAAATATTTTACTATGGAAGATAAAAGCGCTTTAAAAGAATTGGACTCTTGGATAGAGCAACTCAATGAATGTAAGCAACTAACTGAAAATCAAGTAAAAACGTTATGCGAAAAGGTAATATTTTTCGAATTCTTTTTTAAAATTTTAGCATCCAAAAATGTTAATCAGAAAATAACGTTGCAAGTCTTATCATTTACCATTTCTTTATTCCTTTAAATATACATAATCAATTTAAAAGATATTTTTCGTAAGTCGTAGAAGTAACATATCGTAACGTTTACAAATGATTTACCATTATATTATTATATATATACTTATTTTAGATTGTGACTGTTTTGTTCGAATACTGTGTCTAAACTATCGATTTAAAATTTTGATCTAGCATTGTTCATAAGTCAATACTAGATTGAACAAGCTTATTAAATCTGATGGAATCTATCAATATGTTAGGAGTGCATTGTTATGTTTCGGCTTATGCGTTTGAAATCAATATATGTTCTGCATCTGTCATTTATGATAATGAGTATTAACAGAAAGCTAGACACTTATATTAAACTATGTTTGTTAGATTTCTTGCTGCTTTGATTATTATAACTACCAAATAAAATTGATATGAAAAAGACCAGTTGCAGAATTTTCTGTATCAATCCTATAATATCTATATATAAGAAAATTGGTCTTCTAGTCAATCACTGGTGTTCCAGTTATGGACCAAGGCGAGGTGTATATTAGCCTTGTAATATCTAGGCATTGAAACTTGAACAATTTATGTCAAAACCTTTTAGTGTTATAATTTTAAGAAATCGAATTTGTTAGGCACCCCTATTTCACTGTGTATCTATGCACCTGGAAAGTCATGAGAAATCATGGAAAGTCATGAATTTTGGTATTGAACAAAATTTGTCATGAAATGTCATGGTTTTAACTATTTTTTTTAAAAAGTCATGGATTAAGGTGGCCGAAAAATCTTGTTTTTAAAATTGAATCCCCCCTCCCAATTTCATGGTGTTCTGAATTTATGGATTTGTAATAAAAATCACCACTCAGTCATATTTTAGTAAAATATAAAATATTTAATTCATGTACTTCAAAAATTATGGTGTTCTTTCATAAAATGAAAGAAAAAACATCATTTTTTGAGCAAATTGTTTTTTAAATTTTTGTGATTTCAGAACTTTTGTTATTTAAGTCATGAAAAATTCTTGGAGTTAGTCAATTGCTTTATATGTTAATTGCTTCCAAAAAAAAAAGACCTTTTGGATCAAGAACTGAAAAACTGTTTACAAACCCATATAGTTTGCATTTTGTGCTATGATTAAATTTGTCTAATAATAATGTTTGCCTGACCTGAGTTTTGGGTGGGAGAAAATGAATTAGTGAACTAGTTGCAGGATTGAGACTTGTTGTGCCATACGAACTTTTATTTTCCTTCTAGGAAGTATGTTTGAATGATAAAAAGTAAAAATTGACCTTTGTTCTCCCTTAGCGTTTTTAAAAGGGTGGTCCATTTTGCCTGCCCTTTCATAGAGCCGTTAACATTCTTGCCCTTTTTTGTAAAAATGCTGTCATCTTTCTTAAATAGGAAGAGAATGTTCTTTTTTTTTGTTTTAAGAAAGGAGATAGCAGTAACAGAAACCACGAATTTCAGATTACCATAAATAGTAGAAATTATTTTTAGACTAAGTTAATATAAAATACCATTATTTTTCGTATTTGAGAATTTTTAAATTTGTTTTGAAGTCCGCTAATCTATCTAAATATAATTAATATATTTAGCTAGATTAACACTAAACATATCAACACTTAATATATAGGGTGACCTGGGGTAATTCCTGATCAAAAAACGCAAACATCTATTTTGTGAAAAAGCTATTCAAAATAAATATTTACTGGAAGTTTGAGGCTATATGAGATGAGTCCTATGCCACCTTCTTTTGTTTGAAAATCTAATTAGAATTTATAAGATTTTAAAATTTTAGTGATCAGGAATTACCCCTGGTCTTGATCATTTCTGGGTTAATTCCTGATCACTTCTGGGGTAATTACTGATCACTAGTTTTTATTGTAAAGGGACTGTTTAAAAATAATTATATTATGGTAATTAACAAATAAGACATCAAGATCAAGCAAATAAACCAAAAAGATATGTTTAAGCAGCTAATAAAATGGTTTATTTAAAAGCAAGAGGAACGATTAACACTTTAAATTTTCAAAAATCTTTGCACCGTGCCATGCATTTTAGGCAATCAGCCAACTCATTCTCATGTTCTTCTAAAATATAAGAGTTCCCACATGGGTTATTTCTTTTGCTGGATTTTTTAACTTCATTAAGGGAAAGTGTAAAGTTAAGTAAGGTATGTCAACAGCTCTGGCAGCAGCTCTCACACTGAAATTTTCATTTTCAATCATTAAAAGAAATTCACTAATTTTGTTTTCTAGAAGTTTAGTATCCTTTTTAGGCTTATANAGAGTGTAAAGTTAAGTAAGGTATGTCAACAGCTCTGGCAGTAGCTCTCACACTGAAATTTTCATTTTCAATCATTAAAAGAAATTCAATAATTTTGTTTTCTAGAAGCTTTGTATCCTTTTTAGGCTTATTATTTCTCACCATATTTATACTAGGCTAATTTATAAACTTAAAAATTATTCTAACGATGTACACGCATAAAATTAAGATAAGCAATTTAAGACAAACCAGAAATGGTGCAAATCAGAATACAGTCTTGTATACATTTAAAAACAAACTTTGTGATGACAGTTAAGATATATTTTATAGTTGTTCCACTAAATAAATATGAACTGTTATTTAAGAAAAGACAATTGGCTATTTATAAACTATTTATAAGAAGAAATGACAATGATCAGGAATTACCCCAGTGATCAATAATTACCCCATCTGTAGGGGGCAACATTTGATATAGTTTCCTATAATCAATTATAGTGTTTACAGTAGATGTGAAACAATTAAACAAAAGCTTACACTACTTTTATATCAAAGAAAAAGAAAGTAACTCACAATATTTATTATTAAGAGAAGGAGGGGGATCTTTGCAGAAATGTGCACATTTTGAAACCCATCTTTGAAATGGAAAATACAGAAGGCAATTTAAAAGATACTTATTTTGTTAGATTAAACGAAAAATTATTATTAAGTAAATGTAGTTATACTTTAGTAAAATGTACAAGCATTCTTGTCCATGTCTCAAATTTAAAAAAAAAAAATAATTTTTTTAAAATAAAACTCAGGTGATCATTATTTACCCCAGAAACAGAGTAATCGTGAATTACCCCGGGTCAACCTACCTATTTCTACCATAGCCGGTGAAATGACCGAACTTTATGTTTCTTGATTGAATGTATGATGTTGGGAAGGAAATGAACTATAAAAACTTTATAATAATTAAACAAAATTGTATATTGCCAATTTATATGTGTTACAAGCACAAAGAATACGAATTTTTAATTCATTGCTCAATCAGGGTTCGTGATTTTTTGATTTTTTAAAAAAAAAATCAAAAGAATCAGATTTTTTTTATTTAAATCGNTATAATTCTTATAATTATAAGAATATATAAGAATTATAATTCGTATGATTATTCTTATAATTAATATAATTTCTTCTAAGAACTTTTGCTGTCTTGATAGTTTCGACATTTTTCTGGGTAAAAACTAACAGTTAGATAGAAATGAATTAAGGCTATCAAAATAAAATATAAGCTACTTACCAAAACATTTAGTTTCTGACACTTTTTCTTACACAAAAGTGCCGATCTAAAATTTTAGGTACTTTCTTGAAATTTAAATTCCCAGTTAGTCTGATTGAACTAACTACGCAATAGTTTTTGCAGAAATGTGCAACTAATCGAATGCAAGACGGTGAACACGAATTACATCGTAATTTCTGATCCGATAATCTTATAAAGCAATAAATTGTTCTCCCGGTGAAATGACCGGTTGTGGTAGAAATAGGTATGCAACAAATATTATTCTAAACAAACATAATAACAGAATAATAAGGGTATATAATTGTTAGAAAAAGTCATGAAGTCAAATGTGCAAAAACGATGAGATGATAAGCACATTTTTGATGACAAGTTCTTAAACGGTCATTTGACCAGTCATGATATGTTTAGTGTTAATGCCCTTGTTTTTGAAAAAATATCCAGTTTTTTTTTATTTTCAGAGAGATCTCTGAATTTATTCTGAAGTCCTGTTGCTGGATGTTTATAGCCAATAAAAGAAAAATTAAAAATCTCGTAAATTTTAAAAAAATTCTCCACATGGTACATTATCTGCCCTTTGACATCTATTTCTAACTTCAATAAAAATTGTGTTGCAATTTCTCACTATAAGCTATGTTACTGCCATATCCTTATTTGAAATATAAATTCTGTATCTCTTCATCCATCCATTAATAAGCACCTTCATATTTATTTTATTTATTGATGGAGAAAACAAAGAATTTAATGGTGAGAAAGAGATATTTGAGCTAAGGCTTTTATTTAAAACTAATCAAACACTTGCATCTTTGAAAAGCAATGGTGTAATCTGATACTCAGAATTTTTTTTATTTCTTCTTAGATAATTATGAACGAGAATAATTTTATATAGATTTATTTTCAATGCAGATGTTTGATTATAAATTTTAATGCATAGATTCGTTTTTGTGTGTGAGCTGTTGGTTATATTTTTATCAAGTTTGATGATTGTAATAACTTATTTTCGATGTGTTGTCTTACTTTTTTGGTTTCAGTGACTTATAGTGTGTTTGACTTGCTAAATGTTAATATGTGTTTAGATAGGGGTAAGAAATAATGCTACAGTTTGAGAATCTTCAATAATTTTTATGTATATTTATATATATAGATTTTTAAATTCAGTCTGCACTCATATTTTTTTAAGAACTGATTATGTAATTATTATATTATTGTAAAATATTTTATCAAACTTTTTGATTATTAGGCAAAAGAAATTTTAGCTAAGGAGTCAAATGTTCAAGAAGTAAAATGTCCTGTCACAGTCTGTGGGGATGTTCACGGTCAATTTCATGATTTGATGGAACTTTTTCGAATTGGTGGAAAGTCTCCAGATACCAATTATCTTTTTATGGGAGATTATGTGGATAGAGGATATTATTCAGTTGAAACTGTGACACTTCTCGTAGCTCTAAAAGTAAGTATTTTCCTTCTTCTTAAGAATGGAAGTTTTTATTCTAAATGAATAACTTTTTACATTTCTCTACAATCCTTACAAAAAAGTAGATTTTGAAGATTTTCCCACCCTATTTTATGTATGTAGTTATTTGATCCATAAGATCAGGATTGCAAGTCATGATTAAGTAGAAATCTTTTTTCTTCTTTTTCAGTAGAAATCAGATTTCTCTTATGTTTCCCAGTCAAATTTAAGATAAATGTATAAATGATTCTTAGTATTTAAAAACAATATTATAACTAAAATATTTAAATTTATTTTGTATATAAATATTACAAACTAACAATTAAAAGATAAATGTACGTTATCTTCATTTAAGTTGATACTATTCTGATTACCTCTGTGAATTTGTAATAGATATCAGAGTAGGGTTCACAAAGATAGATCAAAACCAAAGAAACTCAACAGGGTTTTTCATATTGGTAGGGGTGATTGTATCTGGGATTAGAGTTTTGGACTATCTAAACTGGTTTTGAGCAGTACACATGGATTTTACTGTCCTAAACTGATTAAAACTTCCCGAAACTGTCTTAAAGTGTCTAAAACCCTTATCTGTGGTAAAAGGTAAAAATTCTATAGGTGTAACCCATTGCACACATAATAATTACATATTTTAATAAATATTTCATACTTTTTATACAATTTGCTTTAACCTATGAAAGGAAAATAGTATAATAGGAAAAGATTTATAACTTTTGACAAAGTTTTAGACAAAGGGGCTTTGGACAGGATGGTTTTAACCATGGATTAATCCATTTTGTCCTAAACCTTGCCAACTTTGAATTGTACCCCTGAGTTCTGGATTTTTTTGCTATCATCCTATTGGTTCTTAAAGCTAGGACGAGTAAGCAGGGGTCTGTCTAGGTTTTTCTAAGAGGTACCTATTTTTTGAAAATTTAGAAATAATTTGTGAAAATTAAAAATCATATTAAACAATCAACACAAGGAAATGGTAAAAATATGGATTTATTGTTTCTTACGAGACAAAAAAAAAAATTTTTTTAAGAAAAATTATTTTGTGAAACTATTGTTTTTCCTAAAGTTAGATTTGTAAAGGTACCGCTAAACGATAGTAAATTTGGCTTGGACAGACCCCTGTGATAAGTCATGTGATTTTTCCGCAAATGGAAAAATTTATCCAAAAAAATTTTACCACAATCTAAAATTTAGATTTTGAAATCTTCTCTAAATTAAATAATTCCAAAACAATTAACAACCTCTTCAAACATAAAGCTAGTCTTGTTTTGTTCTGAAAATAAGTTAAAAAAATCACGCACGATGTTTTTGATATTGGTGTTGCATGTTTCATAATTTTTCCGGCTTTTGTCAGCCTCTCTAAATTTTATTTTTAAAAGTCCTAACATGCCACTGCCAATAGAAAAATTTGCTTCCTTTACCTGGCAAAAGTTTCTCCTAATAATATGAAATTAAATTTAATCAATATAAATACAAATTCATTTAAACATAGTTTGCCTTTAATAAATCAAAGTTACTAAATATAGATAGTTCTTTTCTCAGCTATATGCAAGCAAAAATAACCAAACAATAAAATTCATATTTTTATTGTATAAAACCTAGATGGAATTAATAAAAGTTATGGAGCATTTACTTTCATCATCATATTTCCTTCTTTTACTTAATTACTGCCCTTCAGTGTCGGTGACAAATTTTCAAGTAAATATAATCTAACACAATTGGAGATTTTACATCTCAACTTTTAGCCACTATGGTTCGCTCAGGAAAAACTTTTAATGCAATGAAAATATACCTTATTGAAATTACCTAAGTTAAATTCAAAATGAAAAAAAAAAAATTTTTTTAACTATCATCTTTATTAACTCCAAATTTTTTAATGATCATTTCAATAATACCGTCTGCATAGGATAATATTTTCTTAAAAATTTAAATATTCATTTAGTAAGGTTTGTATTTCTTTCTCAAAATTAAGGTTTGAAGATTCAGTCATAGACTCTGAAAATAATTCTCTTTTGCCATTTAAAAAAAGATGAAATATGATGAAAACTCAAATGTTTTGGCGACTTTTTGCAATCTAATCATTTTTCCTTGTTCATATATTCTGTGGAAATCTTTTAAATTTCGGCTACCTGAAATTTTCTAAATTCCTATCTCGTCTTTGCATGAAATATTTTTATCTTTTTTTCTGTACTTCCAAACTCGATGTTCTAGGTCCACGTTCCAGCATTTAATGGTTTCAGACTCTTTGCTTTACACTTCCATAAGCCCTTCTGATCTGCTTGTAGATTTTTAGGCCTTACATGTACTTTTTTTCGCGATTCTAATTCATTTGCATTTCTTGCAGAATTTATAATACTCCAGTGTACTAAGATTTTGTTTTATCGATTAAACATTCTTGTACCATGTTTTCCTTTGGCATCTAGTTGACTATCTGGAACACTACAAAGCAAACCTTTTCTTTTTCTCGGGTTCCTTTTTTCTGTCCATCTGTTAGGTACAGTGTTTCTTTAACTCTTGCTTCAATTTTTTTATTATTATGTTACTTTCATTCAACTTTTGATGCCTTTTTCTTAGTATCCCAAGCATTTAACTTTTTATTCTTACAGGATTTTTTTATAACTTTTGATGTGCTATCTGTCTCAGTGCTACCAACATGTCTCAATTCAGAAAACTTGATTTTTAGTATTCCCTTGACTTCCACCTGTACTACAACATCATCGGGTTCTAAATTCACCAATTTATTTTTCCTGCACTTTGGTAATGCTGATTTGTCTACACTTTGTTTTAGTATCACCTCGCCAACGTCTCTCACTTTGCCGTACCTACTTATGGTGGTTTCCGTCGTCACTCTTCATCCCTCTAGCTAAAGAGTCTTTCAAGCCTTCAAGGGCTGCTTTTGGTTTGTTTTCGTTGGCTTCACAATTACTTCAGTGACAGATTTCTACCTTAGTACCACTTATTATTTCGGTTGTAGATGGCACGCTAATCAGCCCTCAAAAATAATTGGTATCACAAAGTGCTTCTTTATCAAAGCCAGTTTTTTTTTTAAAATGGTCTCCATGACCTATTCTGTTTTGGCCCCTGCTTTCGCGAGTTCCTTTTTGACTGTCATTGACTTCATTCTTGAGGCGACCAACGATTTCAGTATTTTTTCGTTAATTCCAAGTTGGGCTTTCTCTGGATCGCACAGCTGTTCAACTTGAGTTTTGACTCTTGCTACTAAAATGTAATAATTATAAACTAAAAAAATAAAGTACATGATTAATAATAAAATCTTGGTAACTTACCTATAAAACAAATTATGTGTAATATGAATACACATTACAATGATTCATGATGTATTTGGGTTGTACTTCAGGGTTTGTTCAACTACATCAACAGGTTTATAATATTTTTCGACAAAAAATACAGAAGTATATTTTCCGGTTAAAAAACAATAATTTTCTGTGGTGAGTATTTAAAAGATTTGACCAAATTATCCCCATTTTATTTAAAGATTTCTATTATAGACTGTACTTATTTCTATCTGCTGTACTTTATCTTAAAAGATCTATGTTTAAAAATTTAGTTTAGAATATTGAGCCTTTAATTTGACAGAAAAGCATAATTTAAAATATCAGTTGTAAGCCAAAACATCTCATTTAATTCGATGATGCTCAGAGCTTCTTTTATAAGAGTTATGCTTGAAAATATATTTTTGTAATGATAAAAGTTGATAATTTTTGGCATCCTGTAAGACATATAATATAAAGAATTTATATATTTAAAATTACATATGAACATACCATGTGATACAAAGAGATATATGTATTTCATGAATGTATATTATGCTTTTAAAAGATTAATTTGATTTTATTTAAAGCAAATTATGTGTTTCTGATTTAAAACTAATTATATAACATTGGTATAATGCTTTTTGTTTTACAAAGAAAAACAAGTAACACAGTAAAAGTATCAATTCAGTACCTGTGTCCAAACTGTTAGATTAAAATTTCATCTAGCACTTGATATTTTTTCTGTTAAAAAAGTTTCTTTTCTGACGATTTTTTCCATTGTGGAAAAAAACTTGCCATACCTGATAATTTTACATCTCATTTATGGTTATTATTAATATTCAGATTTTAATTTCTTCCCTGATGATTTCTTTTTTAGGTTCGCTACAGAGAAAGAATTACAATTCTTAGAGGTAATCATGAAAGCAGACAAATTACACAAGTTTATGGTTTTTATGATGAATGTCTTCGTAAATATGGCAATGCTAATGTATGGAAGTATTTCACAGATCTTTTTGACTATTTGCCACTTACTGCACTTGTAGATGGTCAGGTAAGTTTTCTTATTATCTCGATTTTATATGTATGAAAAATTTTCTAATTTAACTGGCGAGATCTCTAACCACAAAGTTCCATTAGAGAGTTATTAATAAATCTATCGTAAACAGCATAAATAGTTATCACTATTATAATAATAATAGAGAAACTATGATAACTAATAGTAGAGAAACTATGTTTTATTTATTTTTTAATTTTTTTTTTACCAGCCAAGGGATATGTAACTAAAGCAAAATTGCATAAATGATATAGTTATTAGGCTTTAAATATGAAATTAAAATTACTTTTGGTGTTTTTTTTTTTCCTAGTGAAAATGTCTTAAAGTATGGTTCATACTGAAAAATGTTTGGTTAGAAGAAAAGCTTATATTAAAACTTAAAGATTTATTTAATATGTTACATTCCTTTCTTTTTTTTTGATTATTTTAATTGATGATAATTGTTTATTTGAAACTCTTTAAAATTTTGGAAATAAATTAAACTCAAGAGTTTGATTTGTAGACATGTCTGTTTTAACATAATGAATAATATCCAGGAATCATATTGATTTTATTTTGAAATTTATACGTATTACGTTTGATTTTTCATGCTTTTAAGATTTTGTTAATGTTTTTCTACCCATATTATTCTCTTGCATTGTTGTATTTATTATTTTAGCTTACATTATGCATTTATTTATTCTGAATAATCAGATAAATCTCAGATTTTTTTTTCTCTTGAAAGCTACAGCAGAAAAATTTTGTCAAAAAATTCATTTTAGCATTGTAATAATATAAATAAACATAGCTGTCATAAAATTTAATAGCTAATTATTTGTGGTTATTTAACATTAGTTATGTGTATAATAATTTGAAAGTTCATATTAATTTTAAAAAAATGAAAGAGAATACTACTTATATCTAATTTTGAGGTAGTCCCTAATGATTTAGTCCAAATAGTACTTTTGATAAATTTAATTTTCTCTTTTGTAAATTTTGGCTCTCAGCATGTCTCTTAAATTTCATTTAGGTGTTGAAACTCTAATTTGCACAAGATAAATTCTTTGTTAACATTTGTCATTTCATAATATATTCTGATGAAAACATTTTATTTTAGATCTAATATTTTTTTGTTAATGATAAATTAGGATCAAGTTACTACTGGTCTGTTTAATCAAAGTATTTTTTACCACCAGGACTGCTGGATTTAAACCACTAAAAAGGGACCGGCTTAAATAAAAATTGGCTTTTATTAAAAGAAAATAATTTTCAAAAGCTGAAACAATAAGAAAGAAGTATAATGTTGAGTAGTTACACTGATGTGATTAGATGTTAGAAACTATGTATGACAACAGTTTTGCACTTTCGAAAATTGGTAGTGTGAAGGAAAAAAAAAACCTTTAATTTTAAAAGAAAGCCAACATTGAGAATAATTTTAAGCTACTAAGAATTATAATTAATAAATTTCCCAACTTTTACAACTAAATATATTTTTATTTGTATTATGAACGAATCGTTCATTTTTATATTAAATGCATCATACTGTGGCAAATTTTATATAATAAAGCTATATTAACTAAATATTAGCTGTATTTTAATGTAATATATTTTTCAGGAATCAATAAAATTGAATCATAAAACACACAAAGCCAGTCTTTTAAATTAAAACCACCTGGCCTGGACTTTTTCAGAAAGTGCCAGCTTTTTTTTAAATTTTGTTTCAATTTTTTACCAATTACAACTCAATGTTTTAAAATGTATGGAAGATAATATTTCTATGTATTTTTTTATAGATATTTTGTTTGCATGGTGGTTTATCTCCATCAATTGACACTCTAGATCATATCAGAGCACTTGATCGTTTACAAGAAGTTCCTCATGAGGTATGTAAAAAACTTTCATATTGAAGTTTTTAGAATTCAAAATTATAAGTTTTGGTTTTAAATAGTGTACATTTCAGAGATGGCAAAGCTTTTTTTAATAAGTGTGCCACTTGTTATATTTGTATATTTCTTTTTAAAATTTATGGATAGGTTTAGAACATAGATATTTTGGAGCTTGCTCCAAATTCCTTCAATTTTTAAAAAATTAACTATCCTTTGATAGCTGAATTTTTGAACCATCCTTTTCATAGTTTCTGAGTGAGGTCATTGGTCTTTTATTTAATAATTTTATCAATCAATATCTTAAATAATTCTCTGTAGTATAAAACCATCACTTTATAGGAAGCCTGGTTAATACCTCCTTGAAGGTAAACCTCCCGCGAATCACTGAAAACAGAAGAATTCATTGCTTACCTGTAAGCTAAAAGGCCTATGGATTTGATGTATTCACAATTAATCATCTATCAAGTGTCTGAATAAATGTTTCATTTATTTTAGAGGTGCACAACCTGCGGCCCTTCGACTACTGAAGTGCGGCCCGCGAGAGCTTCTAAACACAATAAAAAAAATTTTAAAAATGGGAATTTTTAATCGCACTTTTAAGTCATCGCGTTTTGACATAATCAAGAACAGATTCTTTAGTAAATGTACATTTAACACGCTTTCTTTAAGCCGATTTTATCGTAAATATAAATGACTTTTTAAAACAGTTATTTCCGCTTTTCTACGTGATTTCGAAAATCCCGAATTTTTATTACAACGCGAGTTTCAGATCACAAATTTAAATAATCACCTTTTGTGGACTTTATTTGTGACGATTTCATCTTAAATCTAAGTGATTTTTTATCTTTCTTTTGCAATTCTTTCTCTTTTTTTTTTCAAAAATTTTTCTCGGCAGTTATTGCTATGCGTTCCCACATATTATAACAAATTCCGATTATTCTGTTACGACGTGCAAATTTTAAATCATGCATTTGACAAGCTTTATTCGTGCTGAGTTCAGCATAAATATATTTTTCCCCAATTATTTCTATACTTTTCCACATGATTTTGACGATCCCGTTATTTAACTATGATGTTATTACAACACGTGATTGTTAATTGCGCAATTAAATAATCACTTTTTGATACGGTATTTCGGTACAGTTTTATTCGTAAATCCTAGTTATTTTTCCTTCGTTTTTATTTCAGCAACGAATATGATTTGGTCGAATGTGGTAATGAATTGTGATTTGATCAAAAACCAAATATTCGGCAAGAAAAAATCAACTGAACGCCGTACACTTGGGGCCAAATAGCAAAATCTTTTAGCAGCATAGCTACACTGAAACTAAAATTTCAATGCTCAGAATAATATTTCCTGGAAAAACGTATTCATAAATTAACTCTAAAAAGTAAGGCCAATCAAGAACGTTTTTGAAAATGTTGAAGAGCGAAACAGAGAACATAAAAATCAATCTTAATTTTTGAAAACATTTTTAGAAGCTGAACATCTCAGTTTTTCAATTACCAAAAAAAGCCAAGAAAAAAAGAATTTTAGTCAACAGAAATGCTATTAAAAATTACTTCCTTATAATGAAAACGTCTAAAAAAAAGGTTTTTTTTTTACATAAGGAAAATAAAAAGATAGAAAAAACGTTCTTAATTTTTTAAATAAAAATCTTATGCCGAAAATCTCAGTTTAAATTTTTCTCATTNTGTCGAGGGGGTATTGTGTATGTTAGGTATTTCAGTCAAAAAATTTTCAGTCTTGGCCTTTTTTCCAACTTGCACCCATGAGTATCCATAACAGGAGGATTTATCTGTAATTAATATACACTTTTTTAATTTAGATTCTTTCTTGTTTAAAAAATTGAACAAAAGGAAATAAAATTTTGATGTGTTCTAGAGATTTAATATTTTCCCCCCACATTTAATATTTTTAATTTGGGTGAGCATACTTTCAAAATATTTTAATTATTAAAAATCTGTTATAGTTAACAAATTAGTTTGTTATTAGTTTTTTCTTTCTGTTTAATGGTATTCTTGAATGCACAATGCAATGCTAGGAAGAGCAATGTATCAAAATTGAATCTATTTTGTATCGTTTTTCTTCGTATTAGAACAAGTGAATGAAAGTAATGGCTTTTTATGCCACTCTTAAACTTGTATGCTGAAGACCAAAATTTTGCTACTTTTCAAATGTATCTTTTGGTTGGAAATCCATTTCAGGAGATCAATCGACCTTGCAAAGTGGCGGAAACTTTTTCAATTTAGGAATATGCCAAATACTGTGTAATTTAATTTGTTAGCAAGATTTGAAAGAAGGTAGATGCCTTTTCAAGATTATGCAATTTTGTTCAGTTCTGCATTTGTTGAATACATTTTACCTCAGTTGGAATATTTTTTTATTGTGTTATTAACTTTCTTTTGCATTTGCTTCATTCATTATTAATTGGTGTAAATAATGTTTATAAAACTATTTCAGGGACCAATGTGTGACCTCCTATGGTCAGATCCTGATGATAGAGGTGGCTGGGGTATTTCTCCTCGTGGAGCTGGTTATACATTTGGCCAAGATATATCTGAAACATTCAATCATAGTAATGGATTAACATTAGTTGCCAGGGCTCATCAATTAGTAATGGAGGTAAGAAATATCAATATATTTTTTTTAAAAAAAATTCAAATTCTTTTGATTCACCACAAATTAAAAACTAGAAGTGTTAAAATTCAAAGGCAGTTAATTTCTTCATTCTTTTATTCCTCAAAAGTAAGAACAGCTGTTAATTATGATATATATGATTGTACGCATGAATAATTTGATTCATAATTAATAATTCTCAAGTAACAAATTTTAAATTTATAAAGTGAAAATCATATAAATAATCAAAGAATTTTTTAAATCAAATAGAGCCAGAATGATAAATGCTACACCGGATAAAGTCGCAAAAAAAAAAAAAAATTAATCTTGATTTGATTTGTTCTCATCAGAAATGTTATCTAATTTCCCTCCATAATTTACATCTAATCCATATTTACAGATAATATTTAGAAACATCTAAAGAAATAGATCACTTAATAATTGAAATTATTACAACTTGCTTAGAGTGACAAAAAAAAATTGCTAATGTGAATAATAGATTATTTGTAAGGTCATGAGATCCAGAAATAAAAATGAGTAATGATCAACATGATCTTAAGATAATAGAAATAGACAAAAGTGGTGGGAAATAGTTTACCATAGTTGAAATTAATAAATAATGAACATATAATAAATTTAGTCTTTGCTATGCTATCTGGAAAAGTTAGGAAGTTGGGTTAGGCGAATGCCAAGTATGCAATGTTTGCATCAACATTTCTCAATGAACACATTTCGTGTGCAGGAGCTTCTTTTTTAACGCCCCTGTTTGTCATTAATTGAAATATAACATGTAAATAAAATGGCAAATATTTTATGTGATTCACTCTGTTTTGCCACAACGCTGCTAGTACATACAGTGGTATTATATTGTAATATATTTTTAAAGTGTATCTGGAAAAGTCAGGAAGTTTTATTCTTTTATTTGAGTAGCAACCTTGTGAATGTTTTGGCAAATAGAGATCAGAGGCTTTTTTTTCCTTTTATAGAATTTCCTTCCATTATAGAATACATATTTTTCCTTTGTTTTTTCCCGTGTATAGAAACACCAGTAAATCAACGCATAATTTATTTTCTTTGTCATAACAAAGCCAGTGCATTTTTAGATGCATATTACCAAATTGTTGTGATATTCATTAATTTGTCATTGTATCAGATATGAAGAGAAGCTTTAGAGAAAAAAGTGAAATATGCATTTTTAAAAAAATGGTATCCCCTTGTCAATGCTTTTTCAATTTATTTCTTTTTTCAGAATTCCAGAACACAATAGAATTTTTTGTTTACTCTACATAATAATTATAGCTTTCTATGAATTCATTGCTTTTTAAGATGTATGAATTCATCTCAAAAATAACTACTTGTATTTGATTAATATGTATCTATAATAACTTCAGATAAATCAGAAATGTTGAGAGGAATTTAAGTATAAAATTATTAATATAATATTAAAATATGTGCCTAGCTGTCTGGTCTACTGGTTCAATTAAAATTCTCCTGGTTTTTGTACATTCTAGAAGATTCCCTAAAATCAATTGAGTTTTCTAAAAAAATACCAATTGAAGTAGAATTTTTTTACAGATTATAGCTTGCTTGCTAGAATTTTTAAATAAGTATTACTAGTACATAATGAAACAAACCTCATTTATAGAAATCAGTTCATAAGTTTTTTTGTTCTAAAATGTTCAGTTTATTTTTATTCAGAACTCTCCCTTTTTAGATTAATTTTAAAAAAAGAAAATCTTTAAACTATCTTTGGCGAATTAAATGCCTATCAATATTCGAAATTCTGAGTAAACATAATACATAACATTTTTAGTATGATTAATGCCAATCATAACTGAAAAATATTGCAGTTTTTCTATTTTCATTACTATAAAATTCCCTACGTGTAAAATATTTAGTACATTATGCAGTAATTATCATGAAATTTATATTTCTTAAAATCTACTAGATTTTTTCCTATCCATGTTTGCAGCTATGTGTGTGTAATTTGATTTTCAGTAAGATTTTAACACAAGTATAAAACTGAATTGCTGCATAAGTAATTCAGGGTGCGTAGCGTTTGTAAAAAGTACTTAAAGGTGCTTTTTTGGGGATTCTGTTTTTAAAAGCTTTTAAAGGTGCTTTTTTCAGCTGGCGTTTTTAAAAAGTGCTTTTTTTCACGAATTTTTTTTTTTCCTTCAGTGATATCTGGTAGATCCCATGCATTTTACGAAAAATGGGGTGTTTGCTACGTAATTATTCATGCGGACTTCGTGTCACACCCACGTTATGACTTGCGCAGGCGCGCACACTTGAAACCGAAACCAGAGTGCTCTAATTCGGATAGAGAATATCAGATCCTTATGAAATCTTTTTCTTTTTAATTTTATTCTTGTTTATTTTATTTTACTTCTAACACTTTTTTGACGTAGGGGATAAGGGTACTTTTGTTCTGAGTTCATGATCAAGTTGAATTCACTCGCTGATGTGGGAAAGTACTGATTGTTTCGATTTACGTCCGTTTCTTTTTGGGTTTTTTTTTTAACGCTAAAACTGTTTAGAAAAAGTTTTTGTTTTTCAATAATATCATTGATTGAATATGAATTTTTTGAGTGCTTGAAAATTTTTGTAAAGTGCTTGAAAAGTTTTAAAAAGTGCTTATTTTTGATTTAAAGATTTGGCTACGCACCCTGTAATTTAATAATTTTCTTTCTTAAAAAAATATACAGACGAAGGGGAAAAACATATAAAAGGTTAAAAAATATGTAGGCATGATTTGATAAAATTCGTGGTTATTTCTGCTCATCTGACATGAACCCAGTAACTGAATTGTATCAGTAGCATGATAGAAAATATTTGTTTCTGCAATGTATACTGTGTGTCCCAGTATTGTCAAATGATTGAATCTGGTTTTTTGGTATGATGAAAATGAGCCAGTGAAGGTAACAATAAAGATTAAAAAGCTGTGTTTACTAATTGTGGCATACTTTTCTATCGTGCAAATGACAAGATTTAAGCTACTGGTCTTCTCCCAAAGAGTTTTAAGGCGACCCCACCCTACACGCCCTTCGATCTGACTAAATGTGCCCTTTTTGTAAATACAGTCACTCATAGTGAACCTTCAAGGGACCGAAATTTCGGTTCACTATAACCTAGAGCTCACTATATCCGTTATGGAGGTAATTTAGCTAATGGTTCCCAAACTCCTTTTATTGCACATTATTCAAATAAATGACTGAAAAATATTATGTTGTCTCAAAAAATGTGTTATTTTTCATTACTCTTATGTTATTTCTCATTATGTTGTCTCAAAAAATGTGTTATTTTTCATTACTCTTCGTCTTGTGTACAAAAAAAATTAGTAATCTTTAGCTGATGAGCCATCCTCAACGTCAGATATGGAAACACTTCCTGACTCTCAAATAATTTTTCCTGAATTTCTGTTATTCCGCTTTTTAAACCTGTCTAACCTGCCATTCGAGCACATAAAAGTAGTCGCATAAAATCGCTTAGAAAATTCGACACTTGTCCAGATACTGGAAGATTGTGGCTTCTTCGAATGGTGAACCATTTCAGTAATGCTTATTCAATATCCTTGTGATCTGCTTTTCTCAACTTTTTTCTGCCATCTAAACTTTTTTCATGAGCAGAAATTACTAATTGCTTATTTTTCCATATGTTACAAACTGCAGATTTGGGTAGTTTATATCCCTTGCAAATATCAGCTTGATTGCATCCATTTTCAATTTTTCTGATTATGCCCGTTTTATCATCAATGGAGATCGTTTTACGTTTACTGCTCACCATAGTTAAATTTGAGTCACTTGTTTGCAGGTTTCTTTTTAACTGAACTAAGAGCAAAAAAGAGTTGAAATGAAGGCCTTACCAACACACATTAGTGTCCAACCCTTTGACCAATAATGAATAATTACTCATTCCCTCTGACAGAAAATGCATAATGATCCCACTGACACCTTACAGGTGCATCATCTGCCTGAGTTTAAAACATCTCCTTGGTTTGTTTAGGGATATGAAAGTGAGATAAAAGAAGCAAACAAGAAAAAATGCTTATCGCTACATTCGCCTCTATAGATGGTTTTAAAAATCAGTATATGTATTTATTTTTAAGTAGAAATTTCAAAATTATTACAAAAAAAAAAATTAGAGAAAAAATCAGTCGAAAACAGAAAAAAGTTCATTCTATCCAACTTCCTCACTTTTTTGGTTCACTATATCCACAAAAAATAGCTTTATACATGTATAGCAAGGCACGGGACCAAACATTTCGTTCACTATAATGGGGTTTGACTGTATAAACCACTGTCCCTTCAAAACACTGCCTATTTATTCATATTCCATTTTTAAAAAAAAATTAATTCACTGTTTTAATAATAATTACACACAGGTGAAATTATCTGTCTTTATAAGTTTAATTCTGATTATCATTACAGATATTTACTTTGTTAGGATTTTTCACAACTGGTAAATTTTTTTAAGTTAAGTATTTCTTTTTTTTTTTCAGGGTTGAATATTAATAAATTTTGAAACATTTTTTTTGTTGAAACATTTGTGCTCAGTTATTGTCTATTACTAAGTCTCAAAAGCATTATTGTTGCGATTTCGTAAAGATTGATTATGGATTGTAGTAGGAAATATGTAATTGTTAAATGCTATTTTTATTTTTACCAAGTTTCCCTAATACTTGTGCCATTTTAGTAGTTATTTTAAAATCGTTTCATTATGCTGTGCTTTTTGCTCTTTTGTTCACATTTATTCAAAGGGGATTTATACTTTACCCCCCCCCCCTATTTGAAGAGATTCTCTCCTCCTTTCCCCTTTTTTATATGTAATATTTTTGCCCACTCTTTTTCCTTTTAGTCAATATATTTGAGTAATATTTTATATTAACTTAACTTGAAGATGGCAAATTCCTCTTCTATTCCTCTTCAGCATTTTTATTTTTCAATAAGTTGAGTAAATATATTTTTTATTCTATCCACATAAATATGTGAATAAACGAATCAAACTATTTACGTAGTGGCTCAAAAAATTCAATATTGTCGGGTAATTTTTCATTGAAAAGTTTTATTTACTATATAGATTTTTTATAGTGCAAAATATTCTTATTCACTATCAGAGATGATTGCGCTCCGGGAAAAATCCAGATTTTTCTCTAATCGCAATTCTGGAAATCCAAGGTCCGGAAGTTTCAGGAAATTATCGTTCACATTTATGTATAAAAATTTTGTGTATTTTATTTAAAAATATTGGATGTAGAATTTATTCTTGGCATCTCTTTCACTTGAAAAAATTTTTCTGCTAGAATAATAATTGGGATTAGTAATAAAATTAAACTTATACATAATTATTAATTTAAATTATGTTGCATATCAATGATTTAAATTCATTACGACCTTAATTTTTTTAAATGTGTCATTAATGGTTTTACTCAAGAAATTTTCAGGATTTTTGAGTTGGGCTCACAATCACCCCTGTTATTGCTTGTAAAATTATATTTATCATTGAATTTTAATCTTCATAAAGCTTTTTACTATAAACAAAAAGTTAAATAAGTTGCACTAAAAATTGTAGTTGTCCCCTTTTTTTTGCGAGAAGCATACTGCATATTTTTAAATTCCGTGGGCGATTACCTAATTCATTCTCCAGACGATTAATATCAGGCTTTAATACACGTAGAAAAAAAATTTCAGTTCATATTATAAGCACACTTTGATAGCAATGCAAAATATTTTATTCAGTGATGATGTTTTAAATTTATACTTACTATTTTTAACATAATCAGTGAGTAATTTATTAGTACTATCAATTTTTAAGTTTCTAATTTAATTTTAGAAACTATTATATATTTTTTTTTCTTGTCATTTCAATAGGGTTACAATTGGTGCCATGATAGAAATGTAGTAACTATATTTAGTGCTCCTAATTATTGTTACCGGTGTGGAAATCAAGCTGCAATAATGGAATTAGATGATGCTCTTAAGTATTCTTTGTAAGTATATTTATTCTCTTTAAAATTATTGTTAGTTTATTTGCTAACCTTCTGTTTCAAAGTTGAACCTACAGCACTTAATATTATAAGTGAATATTCAAATAATGACATGATTCACATTATGACAAGCTTATCAGCATGCACAATACCCATAAGTGCCAAATCATCCTATCTCTTAATCTCAAATATTTTTTTAAAGTATTAGTTTTATTGACTTTTACTTTAATTTCAGAACAACTATTAAAAAAAGTCATCTAACTATTGCAGTTGATTTTTGTGAAAAATTGTTATATATAATGGGAAAAAAAAGTGTACACACACAAATTTGTATTCTGTATGAAAATGGGGAAAAAAATCCTACAAAATATTTATAAACACAAGTGAAACCTAACCTAAGTTATTGGCACCCCTTCTATAGCTTTGTGAGGTTCTATTCTGTGAGTACTAAACCACATTTTAGCAGAGATATATGTCATAAAAAATACATATCACCAATAACTATAAAGTGGTAATTTATTTAATCATTTTAAATGTCAAAAAATAAATAACATTGATATCAGCAAATACCGACATCATTATTAGTACATAAAGTCACTACTGAGAAATGTCTTTCCTTTTAACCAATTAGGAGTACTCTAATCTGTAGGAAGAAGTTAAAGTTCATAAAAAATGTGTTTATTCTTCCACGTGAACAAAATTCCATATCACTGGAAGTCTGTGCGTTAAGTATTATATGTCCTCAACTTAAAGCGCACTAGCCCTCCAAAGTTAGTGATTTTATTTTTAAATCAAAAATATCCCTTTTATTTAAATCATTTTTAAAAAATATTTTTAGAGCTTTTATAATTAAGTGTAATAAACTTAGTTGTGGTTGAAATATTCTAGCAGCAAAATAACTTGGGCCCTCATTGGGCCAATATTCACGAATCTTGACTCAATAAGGGTTCAAAGGGCTGTTATTTTTCCAATATTGGCCCCATATAGAATTTTCCAATTCACCGGATCTTTTATGGCCACTTTACAACCAATATCTGTCCTATATCGAATTATCAGATTCACCTGATATTTTATATTCATTAATTATCCAATATAGGTTCTATATTGGCCAAAGTAGGCTCTATGTAAGCCATTTTAGGACCAATATTATAAAATCTGGACATCCCAATATTGGTCCCTCTGTGCATGTTTTTATAGGACCCATATTGAGCCTAATTGGGGCCAAGGTAAAATTGTTGCTTGAGTATTGTTAAAAATTAATCAGACCAATACCGTAACTGCCAACTGTGATCTTATTTGTTCTGATTTTTTAGCTTTGTTCCGAAAGTACGGTTTTAGGTCAAAATGTTCTGATTTATTTGTATTCTAGCACCTTTTCTCTCCTTATGCTGATTTTCTTTCAACCTAGATCAGGTCTAAAAACTAGAAGCAAGGCATATGTGATTTTTTTTCCACGAATATCATGTAATTCCATGTATCTCTAAACCATTGATTAGCGGTGCAAATTATTTAGTATATTTTGCAACAATCACAAAATTTACATTATTTCATAAAATCTACTGGGTTTTTTCCTTTCCATCTTGGCAGCTATGGTGAAGTTATTATTATTATATTATAGGGTTGCTACAGGCGACTATGGCAACTTTTTTTTGCCTGAAAAGTCTTCTTTTTTTAAAAATCTATTTTCAGGGAGACTATTGAAAGACTTTTCTGTACTCCTATCAATATTTTTTAACATAAACTGGGTTGAAAACTTGGAGCTTCTGGGCACACTGAATTTTTTTTTCTTGAAAAATAAAAAATTTTGAATTGCGAATTTGAGTAATCACTTTTTAATTTGTTCAATTTGCACAGATGCCATAGTAAATTTATTTCATTTCAATGGTTATTGCTGTAAAATTCTGCATGATTTTTTTTAAAAAAAACTTTTTTTAATACGATATTGAGATGCATGATTTTTTAATTTGAGTAACGACTTTTCACAATAAATGCTAAATTAAATATTGATAAAATAGAAAATGTTTTAGAAAAAGTGTTTTTTTTTTTTTCTATTTAAAAAGTATTTTTTGAATGAATTCTAGTAATTAAAAGCATTTAGTTTTCTGCTAATATGCTAATTTTTTTGATCTAGAAATTTAGTGCTAGAACACTAACGTTTTTATATATATTATCATATTTGCCACCAACTTGCCTAAATGGATCATGGTACATGACAATTAAGTCATTAACAAAATTTTAGTCATATTTTTGATGAATTTTTGTTCTTATTAGGCAACTATTTTCCTAGTTTTTGGCTACTATTTTCATGCTTTAGGCTACTAAAAGCAACTATTTTGTTCATTTTTTTCTGTGGCNTTTTATTACAGGGTTGCTACAGGCGACTATGGCAACTTTTTTTTGCCTGAAAAGTCTTCTTTTTTTAAAAATCTATTTTCAGGGAGACTATTGAAAGACTTTTCTGTACTCCTATCAATATTTTTTAACATAAACTGGGTTGAAAACTTGCAGCCCTCGGGAGCTTCTGGGCACACTGAATTTTTTTTCTTGAAAAATAAAAAATTTTGAATTGTGAATTTGAGTAATCACTTTTTAATTTGTTCAATTTGCACAGATGCCATGGTAAATTTATTTCATTTCAATGGTTATTGCTGTAAAATTCCGCATGATTTTTAAAATAAAAAAAACTTTTTAATACGATATTGAGATGCATAAATTTTTAATTTGAGTAACGACTTCACAATAAATGCTAAATTAATTATTGATAAAAGAGAAAATGTTTTAGAAAAAGTGTTTTTTTTTCTAATTAAAAAGTATTTTTTTAATGAATTCTAGTAATTAAAAGCATTTAGTTTTCTGCTAATATACAAACTTTTTTGATCTAGAAATTTAGTGCTAGAACACTAACGTTTATATAAAAATTATCATATTTGCCACCAACTTGCCTAAATGGATCATGGTACATGCCAATTAAGTCATTTAATAACATTTGAGTCATATCTTTGATGAATTTTGTTCTTATTTAGGCACCTCTTTTCTTACTTTTGGCTACTAAAAGAAAATATTTAATTTTTTTTCTTTGGCAACCATGGATTGTAAAACATTTTTTTGTATGATCTTGAAACACTCCCCCACGTTATAATACTCTTTTTCTTTTTTTCAGTCTTCAGTTTGATCCGGCACCAAGAAGAGGTGAACCACATGTTACAAGGCGTACTCCAGACTATTTTCTTTAAAAACAGACTAAACTTCTTAACTGTTGTATTACTTAGATTCTGTATACGTTTTTACGAAGCTGCTGGAAAAAACATTTCAGAAAGCAGGAGGCATTTTTCTTGCTGTAAATGTTTGTGGATCAATACTTGTCTCATCTCTTTGAGTTCTTCATCGCAATGCATAGTTCGACAGATAACTTTTAGTAATTGAGACTTTTCAATGTTATTACCCTCTCTTCTTTCTTTTTTTTTATTGTATGCCATTATGTACTTGTTTCATGACACTAATTGTAAAATATGTTTTGCTTGATTAATACTCAGATACTAAAAGTATTCTGTACACATTACTCAAGCACATGCAGCATAATTCCTTCAATTATGGCTCCCGTGTGTAGAGTAATGTGTTAATTTGTGCGTGGGTGAATTTTTATGTTATCCACACCAGTTTAAAAAAAAATATATGTAGTTTCATTTAGTATAATCCAGTGTATACTGTTGTTTTAAAACTTATATACAGAAGCTGACATTCTTTTTTATACTTGAAATTCATTTGATTGTGCTGCTTTTTGTTAAGCAAAAGAAATCATTTTTTGAAATGAACTTTATCTCCCACTTCTGTACTCTCCAGTATGAAAACAATTAATGTACAGATTTTCTCCCAAAGGAAAAAATAAAAAGAACACATCTTTGTTCGATTTCGTCTGAATTATTTTATTGCACACAAAAAAAGAATTTATGCTGTCTTTTTCAGTTTATAAGCAAAGAGCAAGTATTATCTTAGCACATGGGTGCAAGTCTTCCGTCCCCAGGACGGATTTCCGTCTTTCGAAAATGTCCTCGGGCGGAAGTAAGACGGAAATCGGAATAATTTTTTTTTCTGTCCATAAAAATATTTTTTAGGTCTACGTTATTGGTCTACTTTCTTATGTCCTGTTGTTATTTTATCAAAAGACAGATGAATAAATATTTTTTGTACAGTATTTAAACTTGATGTATTATGGTAAAGCTTTCTTAGATAGTTTGCATATGTCGTGGGGGTATTGTGTATGTTAGGTATTTCAGTCTTGGCCTTTTTTCAAACTTGCACCCATGTCTTAGCACATTCTATTAGTATTACTAATAGATTGGTAATTTATACCCTGCCCTTTCATTTTTTTCTTTCTTTTTATGTTCTATTTTAGTTATGAAACAGAAAAAACAGCGGATTTTATCAATATGGAAATATTCACGAAATGTCAGAGGAAATGATTTGAATTTGTCGTAATAGAATTAAATGCATATTTGAGGTTTAGATGCAACTAATAGATTTTCAAACATAAATCAATCTTCAGAAAAACTAGAGAAAGACCAAATCTTGGATGACTTTACTCCATTAACACATTTGTGCCTATAGTTCTTTTAAAAGAGGCTGCTTTTTTCAGAGAAGGAAAAAGATGTATCGCATTCCCCCCCCCCCCCTAACTTTAACTCTGTCTTTTCAGTTTGTAAGTTAGGAGCAAATCACCATGACACTGTTATAAAAAAATTCCTTTTATAGTGAGTATTATAATCAAATACACATATTTAGTGTTAAAATAGCTCATAAGAAAGACTTAAAAGTGAATTGCAGTAGTAGTTTTTGAGGTTATAGATACTGCTAAATAATTATTGCAAAAGCAAGTTGTCAAGAATGGAAAACAGGTGCACCCTTTTGATGTGTGAGGAAAGTTTGCTGAGAATAGAATAAAGTAAAATGATTTTTTTTCTTCCTGTACTGATGCCTGAAATGAGTGTATCTTCCATTTTGTCCTTTTCTTTGTAATATTGCATACTTAAACGACAGAATGTTTTTTCCTAAAAGAGAATGGTTGTTAAAGCAAAAGATCGGTACAGTGAAACCTCCTTGAAAGACCTATTTATGACCACTTTTGGGAGGCGGTGAATTTTATCCATAGACTTTGTGTTGAAGAAAACCTTCCAGGCAAAACTTCTGCACCAGATGAGGAAACTCAAAAATATCGAAACCAAAATTATTAACAAAGCAAATAAATAGTAAATTCGCATGTATGTGAAATTTACCCACAATGCCGCAGACCTTGAAAACTATTTTGGAATTGGCAAATTCTTACTACCACTTTTTTCTTAGAGGTGTTTTTCTTACAGAGACCACTTTTCTTTGGCCAGATACTAAGGGGTCGAACACATTAAATTTTTCGAAAATGGGAAGAAAAAAATTTTGATTGTATTTTTCGATAGTTTATCCTTGAGATAATTGACCCAAAATATGCAAATTGTTTTCTTAATTACAACATAATAAATCACGCTGAACGCTCTGTTACATGTTTGACCTTGTCTACTCAGTTGATTAATGGATCAATATAAATCTCTTATCAATATAAATGATAGTATTTCAGTAAAATACTATAATTTTAACTATTTTATAGAAATGATTTGTTTAAATTATATAGGAAAAAGAATTAATGGCTTCAATATAAATAGAAACACACTAATTTATGTCTCAACTAATTTAGCTGTAATAATCTTAATGAAGGTTGCAGAAGGTAATTGATTGTTTTGGAACAATTTGAAATAAATGTAGGAAAAGCAGCCAAAGAATATGCTCAAAATGAATCTGACAGCAACATATCTGCTGCTACTGTAAAGCATGGATGCAAGTCTTCCGTCCCCAGGACGGATTTCCGTCTTTCGAAAATGTCCGCGGACGGAAACAAGACTGACTCGAAGACGGAAATCGGAAGAAGAAAAATTTCTGTCCTTAAAGATATTTTTTAGGTCTATGTTATTGGTCTACTTTCTTATGTCCTGTTGTTATTTTATCAAAAGACAGATGAATAAATATTTTTTGTACAGTATTTAAACTTGATGTATTATGGTAAAGCTTTCTTAGATAGTTTGCATATGTCGAGGGAGTATTGTGTATGTTACGTATTTCAGTCAAAAAAATTTCAGTCTTGGCCTTTTTTCCAATTTGCACCCATGCTGTAAAGTCATTTGAGGGCAAATTGACAAGAAAAGAAGCGAGACAAACTCTTCAGATTGATGAAAGGAATGGAGAAAAGCATCTTATGGACCTGATGCATTGTAGTTAGTTGCAAAATTTTATTATGGATTATTGACTGATTAGTATAATATTTAACTGGTTTACTTTAACTTTTGACACATTTTTCATGGTAAAGTTTTCGTTGTAAAGTGTAATGTTCGTTGTATCCACAAAAATGTTACTTATGTCCTTTTTTTTAAAAAAAAAAAGCACCTCCATTTTGTGAGGAGTCCCTAACTCCATTCCACATTCATATACAAATTACGACAAACTACAAATTTGGATTTTTTTTTTTAGTAGGGATAATTAAAAAAATTAGACAGTTGTGAGTTTTAACAGTTATTCTTGATGGTTAGGTTTAGCTTTGTCTATCCAGCGCTCTCTGTTGAAAAAAAATGAAGCGGTGTGGGGAAAAGGCTAAAATTTTATAAGAATAAAAACTGTCACGAATTGTTTAATTTTTGCAAAAGTTACTCCAATGCTGCTTTGTCTGGGCTAGTAAAAATTTACAAAAATTGAGTATTATATATTGATTTTAATAATGTTCATCTAGGTGGAAAATCTCGTCAAATTAGCAGTTTTTGAAAAACTTTAATATTTCAGCTAATTCTTTACAGTAAGGTGATATAAATAGTTTAAAATTAGACTTAAGAGTTAAAGATACTGAAACTAGCTTTTCTATTTTCCTTGGCGAAAGAGCTCCGAAAAATACCAGTACGGCAGGCTTTGAAACCATTCGGGAAGGAAATTGACATGGTTTTGCAAATATGAGAAATGTTCTGGGGAAGGCCAAGACTCAACCTGAGCTGTTTTGCTTGTGATAATGATGAATTTTGCTCCCATAACCTTTTCCCGCTTTGGAGGCTTTTATATTATTTGAAAACCACTAAGAAGTAAAATATGCTTTATTAAATTAAATGAATAAAATATAACAGACTTTTAGTAATGTTCTGAGAAGTATTTCCCTAGGAAACATTTTTTTTTTAATTGTTGCAAGAGAGCTTAGATATTTTTCCATTGCGAATTTTAAATCTGCAATCGATTTCTCTATCCCAGCAACAGTTTTTTTCTTTTTGAAATGATGTTTTTTGTTTATTTTTTGTCGAAATGTAAAAGTTTAAAAACGTTATATCGGGGTTCTCGCGGTACTTGAAAGTCCTTGAATTTTGTTGAAAAAAATCAGGGCCCTGAAAAGTCCTTGAATTCTGCCATAGGGTGCTTGAAAAGTACTTGATTTTTTAGCAATTAAAAAATTACCAATCATTCTAACAAAAAAGCAGTAAAAAACAATAAATAAATTCAAAGGAAAATTATAGAAATTCTTATACGTGGATGCAATTTTTAATGCTTGAAGTGAAAAGGGGTTAAAGAAGATGCAAAACTTTTCTCTCCTAGATTTTTGACACTATTGTTCATCCCTCTGTTTCATAGCTGAAATTTCTAGCTAAGTTTAGGTTTTATAGTCATAGTCTTTGAATGACATTTAGTGTTTAATCAAATTAGAAATATGTTCAGTGTGTTAACTTCATTATTACGACAGGTTAATATTGTTATCCTATTTGTTCCTTTAATTTACGTACCAAAGATAATTTTTTATCATTTATAATCAAATTTNGAAAGGGGTTAAAGAAGATGCAAAACTTTTTTCTCCTAGATTTTTCACACTATTGTTCATCCCTCTGTTTCATAGCTGAAATTTCTAGCTAAGTTTAGGTTTTATAGTCATAGTCTTTGAATGACATTTAGTGTTTAATCAAATTAGAAATATGTTCAGTGTGTTAACTTCATTATTACGACAGGTTAATATTGTTATCCTATTTGTTCCTTTAATTTACGTACCAAAGATAATTTTTTATCATTTATAATCAAATTTTTACATTTAGTTTTTCCCGCTAATAAATAAAATTACAGGTTTCATTGATTATGAATAAACATCGTGATTCACATTAAACTTATTCTTAATTTACGGATCAGATCGAATTCATATAAAATGTTCTATGAATTGCGATTTAAATGAAAGTGATTAATGAATCACATATCAAATATTACTTTAAAGTGATTTGCAAATTACTGATCAGGATTTGTATTAAGGTATTTTATATATTTCATATGATTCACATAAAAGTGATATATCAATCACACATCATGATTTCATTTAAAGTTATATCTGAATCATATAACGTGATATGTATTTAAGTAATTTCAGAATCATGCCTTACTATTCTCATTCTAGTAGTTTACAAATCACGCAATGCGATTCTCAAAAGAGAGATTTAAGAATTACTACTCACAATTCTCGTCAAAATGATTTAAGCACCTTTCGAATTGCAATTTGCATCATAATGATCACTATTCACGTGAAAACTATTAGCTAATCACGCAACAGAATTCACAACAAAGTGATTTATGTATGACACAGTATGATTTACGTCTTGTTAAGTTCGTGCGTTTAGTATCATTTGCTATTCATATTGTTCCGATTTAAGAAACATACACTGCAATTCTTTTTCAATTTACAAATTACACATTGTGATTTACGCAATCTTCAAGACTTCACCTTTCTTATAATTTTGATTTACACATAGTATATCTAAATTCGTATAAATGTGATTAAACAATTACGCTTAGTGAAACTTACACATATTCACAAAATTT